CCAGAACTCGTAAAACTGTTGACCTTGCAAACAGTTCTCCTCAGCCGAGTCCTTGCTCTAGGCCTGAGGGGCAGTTCTTTCATACTCAGCTTGTGTTAACTGCATGGTCCCAGCAGGACAGGGTAACAGGCAGAGGTTCTTAAGAATTTGGAGAATCAGGTTAATAAAAGCCTAGATTAAAGTGAAGGCTTGGCAGAAGAGTAGATAAGAAGTGAAAAAAAAACTTATTAAAGATTAGTTAAGGGTCGGGACCAGCAGTTAGCATAATGGCTATGTCGCTGGAATCCCATGTAGTCGACCGCGGTTCACGTCCTGGACCCGGTGGCTTAAACTCACGCCGGATGCATGTGCGTGCGTGCCCAAGATCCTGAGAAGAGAACGGATGAGAAGGGATTGCGGTGTGGCCATCACCCCTGGGGGTTGCTTTCTCGCTTTCCTGTCTCTCTGTCTGTCTGGCAAGCGCATGCACCTTATAGCAAAAACCTCTCAAAAAAAATAATAATAAAAAAGATTAGTTAAGGGTCTGTGACCAGAATACTGATAGAAATATAGACGGTGAAGGCTGGTTTCAGAAACAAAGGAAACGAGAAAAGATCACCCTTGTTATGAAGTAGAAAAAAACTTGGCTACATTATGCCCATGCCCTAAGGTGTTGTGCAGTTAAGAACGGTGATCAGGGACTGCAGGTGGCCTAATGGTTAAAGCAGCTGGATCTCACATGACTGACCATGCAATTTGAGCCCTAGACCCGGCAGCTTGAAAAACATTAGGGGTGTGTGTGTGTGCCCAAAATCCCAAGAAAAGAATGTAAGTGAAGGGCCTGTGGCACGGCTATCCTCCCTGGGTGGGCACTTCTCACTGCCTGCCCCTCTGTCTGTCTCACTCTGTTGGGTGTACACAGAATGTAAATGGCACAGTTGGCCATGTAGGATTCAGTCACCTTAACCAAAACACCACCTTCTGGCCCCGAAGAAATTTCTAAACAATCGATTTTCCCCAGCTGTTTTAGTAAAGTTCAAAGGAAAAAGGAAACAGAGTAGAAAGATTTGGAAAATCCCCACTCCAACCATACATGAGCTAAGAAGCTGTTAGAGAACGCTAAAAGTGTGGTTGAGTCATCACTTGAAAAGACATTTGCACTGATAGAAGAGACCCAGATGCTAATAAAAAAGAAAATGGATAGAAGGCCCTGAGGGTATCTCAAAGATCTTCAGTGCTGTTCCTCCTATCACAAGCACAAAGTCCTAAGAGAGTTGCCAGGAAAGGGTCTGAGACATGTAAATTGCCCTGGACAGCCTGGAGCTCCCAGAGCAGCACCTAGTTACTCCAGCTATGGCTCAGTCAGCTCCAGGTGCAGCTCAAACCAGTCTGAAGCAAGGTAAATGCTGAAGACTGAGGGAGGCGTCAGCAGCACCAGCATCCACATCCACATTGGACTATATGTGCTGCTACAGTGATTCTGCAAGTGTGCAGAAGGCGAGAGCTGTGGGGGTGTGGTAGCCTCCATCTAGATCTCAAAAGATGCACTGAAAAGCCTGGAAGCTCAGGCATGGGCCTACAACATGGACAGAACTGCTGAGAGCCTTCAGTAGAGCAGCACCACGCAGAAATATAGGGTTGAACCAGAACACCCACCAAGATGTCTATGCCTACTAGAGCTGCAGGGCAGATCCATCCTTGAGGAATCAGAACTGCAAACCCATCAGCAGCATACAGTGGTCATGCTGTAAGAATCCAACTCCATGTGGGCTGTAACCAGCAAAGCCATGGGGACAGGGCTTCCCAGGGATTGAGAGGCCCAACCGGCACTGGAGGATGTGGGCATTAAGCCCCACATGATTGTTCCAATGCTCTCAGATCTAAAGTCTGCCCTTGGGAGTTTTGAACTTGCTTGAGCCCCTTGCTCCTTTCCTTTGGTAGAATGGGAATTTCTGCCCTATCCCTGCCCCATCACATCTGGGAATTTGCTAATGTCTTTTCTTATTTTTTACAGGGCCACAGCTGAAAGGAGTGTGCCCAGATATCAGATGAGACTTAGGAGTTTCAGCTCAAACACGCTAAGACTTTTGAGACTATTAGAATGAGGTTTTGTTTTATTTTATTTTGTCTTACTTTATATTTTGCTAGAAGGTGCATGAGCTCACCAGAGACCGACAGGGAGAAGAGAAAGCATCCACACATGGAGAGTGATCACACTGCAGTCCTTCTCCTTCATCTCTCCCTCCTCTCAGAATTGTCAGCAGCCATTTACATGTGCCTGGCATGTTTCTCAAGCTACTAGGTCCAGGATTCAAACAATGCTGTTTTGCATGTGGAATCTGTCTGCCTGAGCCAATCTGAGATGTTAGTGATTTATATATGAGAAAGACGTGAACTTTGGGATCCAGAGGTGAGACACTATGAGTTGGGTAATGATCTGTCCCCTAAAGGTTCAGTAGCTTTGGGAGGTGGTGAGAGGTAATGCCTAACGAAAAGGCACCTCTTCCAATCAGCTGAGAGCATACACAGAGGAAGCAGTCTGTTTCTTCTTCCTCTTCCTTTTCCTGTCTTTCTTTCTGCTGTGGCCGCTGACTTGTCTGTCTCTCGTGGCCATGTTCTGACTCACAACTAGAGGCCGGGCCATGCTTTTTGACTAACCAGCCCAGAATCAAAAACCAAATAAACCTATCCATTAGAGCTCACCCAGTCTTGGGTATTTCTCTTTAGCCACACAGTAACAGACTAATACAACCTCTGTTTTGAAAAAGCTTTTCACAATCTATTTCTGCCTCCACCTCTCCCAACATAAGAACTATTCAGTGAAAACTCACTCTTAGTTCTATAATGATGAAGGAGCCAATATTATGGCAGAGCCTGAGAATAATTTGTCTTCACAAATTGCCATTAAGCCTGAACTGAAAAATCCTACCTGAACCTGAACAAATCTGATAACCTAAAACTAGATATAAAAGTACACTCCAGGAAGGACCCTACTGCCTCCTATGAAGGGAGCAGAATCCCACTTTGCCAAAGGCTGTTCAAATTCTGGCCCTGGAAAATCGAAAAACAAGCCAGGCACATGTGCATGTGCACCCAAAATCCTAACAGGATGCAGAAATGGAGAAGAAGGAATTACAGTGTGACCACACCACTTGGGGAGTGCTTCCTCCCTCTCCCTCTCTGTGTCTCTCCAGAAAGTGTATGTATTAAGTGGCAACTGAAAAGAAAAATACAATGTCCTTTCTCTATTTTCTGTGTCTATTTGAGGACTGATACTTATAACTCAAAAATGGCAAGTCTCAGTTCCAAGGCCCCACTGCTTTTCCTCAACTTAAAACTAACAGTCCTGTCCCCTGTTACATTTGAAATGTTTGAAAGCTAAATATACACAAGCCAAAGAATAAGTATATATGTTCTTGTTAGAAATATTATTCCCAAAGGTAATAAAACATTAAAGATGATAAAATCCAGTTATTTTTCACTACATAGGTTCTGCTCTATTCAGAAGATATATATACATATGTTTCTTCCTTCTTTTGGGCTCCCCCCCCTGATCTCTCTTCTCCAGGGTTCAGTAGTGGTCTCCAACCTTCCAATCTTTAGCCTACAGAGGCACAGAGTCCTAAAACAAGGATGGCCTCAACCAACTAAGAGGAGGAGCTATTTCACCGCTCCTAGAAAACAAGCTACATGGAGTTTCTGTCGCCCACTCCCAGAATAGCCATGTTTCCAACTACCCATGTGAAGCTCCATGGCCGATTTGCCAACCTATCTTCCTTCTGCCCTGTCCTAAGTATACATGGGAAAGACTTTAGTGAATGAGGAAAATGGGTAGAGTCCAGGAGACTCCTGCTGGGCCATCTATCTATTTAGTTCACTACTCTCCAGTACCCTAGTGCTCAAGCTCTAAGTCACCCTCAGTGACTTCGGGTGGAAGTAGATAATACTGCATTCCTATCTGCTATTGAGATTTCTCTCAGGGCTCAAATTATTTCAACATCTTCCAAATCTCCCAATAGAAATTGTGAACTTTGTGAGTTCTTCCAACTAAACAAATCAACCAAAAAGTAGAAACCTATTCAGTACTCCCTTGAATTCCCTGTTTTTAATGTTTCTTTCTAGAAGACTCCCAATATATTGCCTTTTATTCCTGCAATTTTTAAAAGAATGATTTATTTTATTTATTATTGCTATTGTTTTAACATTTGCTATAGGGCATGTGTGGAGGCAGACAGAAGTGAGAAAGCAAGCCACCAGGTCCAGGACTTGAACTGCAGTTAGCCATATGGAGTGCAATGCTTTAACCACCATGTCATTTGTTGGCCCTATTCCTGTGATTTATCTTTACCAAATATGCCAAAACCCCTAATATTCTGACCTCTTTTCTAAAACCCTTCTTCTTATCCAACCCACTCATTATTGTACTTCAAATTAGGCCTTCCCCCACTGATTTCACTTTTGCTTTTTTCTATTAGGTACTCTATACCCACTACCAGTTTCTGCGAATAAAACACACACAAGATGATAAAGAAGAAAGAGGACAGGGCTTAGAATGAAGGAACCTGTGTTCAAATGCCATTTCTGTTGCTTCCTATACATGGATAAGACACTTTCATCTCTTTGCGTTTCATTTTCTCCACCCAAACAACCACTGGCCAGGATGTGAAAAGCAGGTGGAGGTACAGAGTAGATTCTGAGTGTTTTGCTTAATCTCTAAGATTGCTTAGAACTTCAAAATTCTATGTGCTTTTGACTCTGTCTATAGAAAAATTGGGAATATTTAGCTGGTAGAAAATTTTTTAAAAAAAATGACAAAAGAAACAGCAAGAAAAACAATTGCCTCATTAGTAAGAAGTACAGCTACTTTGCAAACCTGCTGTGGTAACAGATAACAAAAGTTAAGCACATAATATGGTGTCTACTCCAGTCTCTTCTCTGCATTCCTTTAGTTAACTCTCAATTTTTAAGAATCTCTAAAATCTTACCTTTTTATAGAGTCTCCAGAACCTTTATGCACTGTTAAAGAAAAAAGTGAAACACTTAAAATCAATAGGAACCAAATAAAGAATTTCAAATTCATGCTTTGTTGCAACATACTCTTTGAGACTGTACCTGGGAGAAGACACTAAAATGAACACTGATTATACAATTGGCGGCCAATTACAGCCTATCTTCGCTCAACAACCCACTAGTTTAACAGCTACTCAGACTCATGACCAGTTCTCCCAGTCTGTGTGAGTGTCTGCTAGTCTTTGCCTTGTTCCCATAGTCAGAAACTACACAAAGCAGTCATACATGACCACATATCTTATTTACAAATTTGTACTTTACTGTGCACCAATATAGTATTCAGAATAAATATGAATGGGTGTGCCAGATCTATTGTGTTGCAATGTGTCCTGTTGCCTTTTGGCAGTTTTCTAACATATGCTATGTGTATATATATATATATATAAATACATTATTCTAGTCTGTTGTCACATGATATCTATTGAAAAATATATACTCGCATGGTGCCACAACACACCACAAGACATCCGTCTTTAAGCTCCTTGCTTAATAACTAATTCACTTCCCAGGAGGGAACTTGGTTTCAGTCATTAAGTGAGGCGCACCTATAATACATTACAAACTCTTCCTCTCTGTATTTGTCAAGCAAGGAAGAATGGGATTTCTTGAAATTTGATATCTATGAGTGAACTGTCTTACAAAATGACTGCAATTGTAAGTGAGCATTACTAAACCAACAGAAATGGTCTCATTAGCAGAAGCAGTGTCATATGCTGACGGTGTCAAACAGCGAGATTTTCCTGGACTAATAACACCAGGAGCAGGGAGAAAGAAAGTACACTTACTTTTTTTCTTCTTTTCCCCCTTTTTTTTTTTTTTTGAGAGGTTTTTGCTATAGGGTATGTGCATTTGCCAGAGACAGAGAGACAGAAAGTGAGAAATCACCCCCAAGGGGGGATGGCCACACCACAATCTCTTCTCCTTCATTCTCCTCTTGGGATCTTGGGCACGCACACGCACCTGGCATGAGATTAAGCTGTCGCGCAACAGACGACTCTGAGACGGTCTTCTCTTCAGCACTTTATTTCCCCAGGCTCTGTACAGTCTTCTTCCTTCCTTTCCCTTTCCCCGGGGCCTTATAAAGGGCCCCTAGCCAATCAGATCATTGTCCACGTGCACGGAAGCCAGTCCTCGAAAGAGGATTGGTTGCATGCGGTGTTCCCGTGCTCTCCATGCTCCCCACTGCTCTACTTCCTTAAAGGTGTTTACTGTTTTGAACGCTCAGCGGGCTTCCGTTGAGCGCCATCTTGAACTCACACATGCACATGCGCCCAGAGTGAGTTTTAAGCAACCAGGTCCAGGACTTGAACTGCAGTAGACTACATGGGAGTACAGTGACATAGCCATTATGCCAACTGCTGGTCCCAGTACACTTATTTTTTTGCCACACAACACAACATCTCCAGCTCTTCAGTCAAAACTGTTCAGTTTAGGATAAAACACCCTATCACAGACCAGCAGGTGGTAAGGTGCTGGATCCCACATGGCCATTGCATGGTTGGAGTCCCAGCCCAGTGATTTTGAGAACATGTGGGGCCAGTGAACATGCACGGCTGGTGTATTTTTCACACCATGGGCATGTGACTCCAACCTCAATGTCAGTCATGTGGGATCAACCCACCTTCACCACCACACTGCAGGCCCTAGAGACAGCTCTTTTCTATAGTAAGCACCTAAGAGAAAAATTGTATATTCCATAATTGTGTCTCCTGTAACATGCAAAACCTAATGTACTCAAGTATTTTAGTAAATTTCTACTAAATTAATAGTGTCCTCATATAATTCAGATTGTTCAATAATATTTGAAGACACATCTAGGGAACATAGTAACATGCTTGATAGTGCTTAAGCTTCTTTTGTTTTTGTTTTTGTTTTGTTTTTTTGGCTTTGCCACAGGTTACATGTGCTTGCTAGAGAGAGACAGAGAGAAGGAAAATGAGAATTCACCCCCACTAAGGCTTTGTCCACATTACAGTCCCTTCTCCTCTCAGATTCTGGATACACACACATGTGCACCTGTCATGATTTTCAAGTTACCGGGTCTGGGACTCAAACTGCAATCAGCCAGGTGGCAGTTCAGTGCCACCATACCACCTGCTGCCCTTCAATTTTGTACTTTTTCTTTTTTTGGAGAGGTTTTTTTGCTATAGGGCGCATGCACTCGCCAGACAGAGAGAGAGAGAAAGAGAGACAGAAAGCGAGAAA